GGCCTTGCGCGCTTCTCTGAGTCCACCAGCGGACAGAACGGTACGGAAGTGAAGAAGTTCAAGCGCTTCGATTCATACAAGCGTGACAACCAGTTCCCTCCAAAGGTCCGCGATTTGCAGATCGTTGTCGATGCGAGAAACGACACGGTCGTATTGCCTGTCATGGGCCGCCCTGTTCCTTTCCATATCAATACGATCAAGAACGCGAGCAAGAGCGACGAGGGCGATTGGTCATTCCTGCGAATCAACTTCTTGTCGCCTGGCCAGGGTGTCGGTCGCAAGGACGACCAGCCTTTCGAGGACGCCTCGGCTCACTTCGTTAGAAGCTTGACGTTCCGGTCGACGGACGGTGACCGCTACCAAGAAATCGCAACACAGATTTCGAACATGAAGCGGGACGTGAACAAGAAGGAGCAGGAGAAGAAGGAGCTGGAGGACGTTGTCGAGCAAGACAAGCTCGTCGAAATAAGAAGTAAGTTGATTTGCATCGTACACCTGCCGCGCTTTTGCTTACAAGCCACTAGACCGTCGTCCCGCCGTGCTTGACAACGTTTTCATCCGTCCTGCTATGGAAGGCAAGCGGGTTCCTGGTAAGGTGGAAATCCACCAGAACGGTATTCGCTATCAGTCTCCTTTGAGCACCCAGCAACGCGTGGACATCCTGTTCTCGAACGTCCGCCACCTGTTCTTCCAGCCCTGTCAGCACGAGCTGATTGTCATTATTCACATCCACCTAAAGGACCCTATCATGGTTGCCAACAAGAAAAAGACCAAGGACGTCCAATTCTACCGAGAGGCAACGGATATCCAATTCGATGAGACGGGTAACCGCAAGAGGAAGTACCGGTACGGTGACGAGGACGAGTTCGAGCAGGAACAAGAGGAACGTCGACGCCGCGCTGAGCTCGACCGTCTATTCCAAGGCTTCGCCCAGAAGATGGCCGAGGCAGGCAAGAACGAGAACCTCGAGGTGGACGTGCCTATCAGAGATCTCGGCTTCCACGGTGTCCCGTTCCGAAGCAACGTCTTCATCCAGCCCACAACAGAGTGTCTGATCCAAGTCGTCGAGCCACCTTTCATGGTTGTCACCCTGGAGGACATCGAGGTTGCTCATCTGGAACGTGTTCAGTTTGGCCTCAAGAACTTTGATCTTGTGTTCGTCTTCAAGGATTTTACCCGACCACCATACCATGTCAACACCATTCCTGTCGAGTTCCTCGATCACGTCAAGGAGTTCCTTGATTCCTCGGACATTGCCTACTCGGAGGGTCCTCTCAACCTGAATTGGCCGACGATCATGAAGACGGTCACTGCTGACACCCATCAATTCTTCCTCGACGGAGGTTGGTCTTTCTTGCAGGCCGATTCTGACGACGAGGATGCAGACTCTGAAGAGCAGGAGAGCAACTTCGAGATAGAATCCGACGAACTCGAGGAAGCTTCAGAGTCGAGCGAAGAAGATTCCGACTTTGGCTCTAACGTCTCCGACGAAGACGATGACGCTGAGATGAGCGACGAAGACGAGGGCGAGGACTGGGACGAGCTCGAGGCTAAGGCCAAGAAGCGCGACCGCGAGGATGCCCGTGGCGGCGCTGATGAAGATGAGGGCCGTGGCCGCAAGAAGCGGAAGCACTAGACAGGGTCTCGCTTCATTTGTCTCTGGCATTATGCGAGGGATGGCGAGCCGTGGACACAGCCGGAAGCGACCTTTATGAGTGCAGTGTTCTTATTATCACATTAGTTGTAACATCAAAATTGTTGTGTAGGCAGGCGTATTGGATGAGAGGGAGGGGGGTGAGGTCGTTAGTGATCATGGAACCGCTTCCTATGGGTGGCGGAACGACGAAACAAATAGCTTTCTTATTAATCGGCAATTCCTGCATGAATATATAGGAAACCCGACTATTCATTTTCATTGAACTGTTGGTTCCGCGTTGTCCACAGACTCGACAATGATTGATTTATTTATGTCTGATCGAGCATAACCCTTTGGCCACACGTCGGCCGGTCCTCTCCCACTGGGTTTCAGATGGGACAAGCTGGGTAGGTACCGGCACTCATGTATGATTTCCAAGCCGATAATTTGCCGGTCAACCTAACATCCAAACTTTGAACAACTCCGAGTTCCTCTCGGTGGGCCAATGCCGATTACAGGTTTCTGCTGGTTGCCCGCCTCGCCCAAGTTCTTATGGAAAAGAAGGGTGAAGCATAAGAAGTTCGAACACATGGATACAGCACGGGCGAGCATTTGAGCCCAAGAGAGCGGTTAAGGAAAAGGAAAAGAAGCAACACGAGTTGACCAGCCGGTGCAAAGCAGCAAATGACAAAATACCTCCCCCCTCTTACGGCCTCCGACTGTCTCTCTCCAGGCGGCGGGGAGGCATGGGCGATGTAGGGGGTCATCGACAGAGAAGATCCGTCCGCACCCCTAACTCATACAAATAAAATTCATGTCATCCGATATAAATAAACAAAAACTCCGCAGGCCAGACTTTCCTATCCCGTGCGTCACATTCACCGACCTCATAACGGCGATGTGGGTAGAACGAGACGTTGTCCTCCGATTGATGATGCGGTGACGCTGTATGCCATTGCCATCGATGAAGTGGAAGGGTCGGTGGCGTTGGAGACCGTACGGCTGTGAAGATGGCACTGCGACTCATCGCCAGCCTTCTAGGCTTCGCCGGGTCGGACTTCGCGACCTGATGCCATTGCTGAGCTGGCGCCGGCAGCCTGCCTGGATCCGGGCGCGTTGTTCCAGGAAAGATAGGTGTGGTCACCCAACTTCCTGTGCGGGGAGTCAGTGCTCGATCCTCCGGACTTCAAGTTACGGGACAGGGTCACTTACCTTGGCTTGATGAGATGAGTTACAGTGAAGATAACACCGAGGAGAATACACATGCCACCGACTACGATATATGCGATGCCGAGGAAAGGGTTTCTGCCACCCATGATTGTGCGTGTGGTGATAATGATGGACTTGGTTCCCTTGTACTCCGTGGTTGGGAAATCTGGACATGTCAATACTGTCTGGACAGTGCAGAACTTTCCGGAACAACTCACTGTCGGTAATATTGACTTCGTAATTGCCTGGCATCATAGTCTCGTCGTCGTTGCGCTGGTATAGTTTGCTGAAAGTCGGTAATCCTGCGGTTCTCATCCAGACCTGGAAAGCAGGCCACTTGGAGATATCTGGTGGAGGGTGCTCGGCGGTGTAGTTGGGGTACCGGACCCTCCAGTTTGGTGGCGGCATGATGTCTTCGGGGTTGTACTTGGTTTTGCCGTAAAGGTCTGCATCAGACGCCCAGGCGATGTTCTTCTCAGTCGACATCGGATAAATCGAATCCTTTTGCAACCAGCGGGGCGAGGTGAATGTATCATTGAACATGGAGTTTGCAATCAACCCTAGCAGTGTTTTAGCCTCCTGACGGGGGATATTGTGACTCGCACCAATGCTTACCACAGGGATAATACGGTTTCTTGGCCTCCTCATCCCACTCAAGTGGCTCGCAGGAGGAGCTGTTGACATTACTGGCAGACTCCGCATTGCCTTTGAGTTGCTTATCGTAGAAAGACGCGACGTAGCGCCTGTGGTTCTGATAAAAGTTCGTAAGATGGTAGTAAAACAATACCGGGGGGCCCATCTCTTCGGGAATGGAGAACTGGATTCTGCACTGCTTCGCTGGGTATGTGATCGGTCCGTCCTCGACTTCGATATCTGTTACAGCCCACAGAGCATTCTTGGTCTGCGCATCGCTCTTGAACGCAGTGCTAATGTATTTCGAGTCCATCGCATCGAGGTTCTCGGTTGCTTCGGTAAGGCAGTTGGTATAATCGATCCGGATCTCCTTGACCTAAGGGAGCGTTGTTAGCGACCGGCTCCGCAAGAAATGGGAGATCTAGGTTTACCTTGGCACTTGCGTAGAGTAGTAGTCCACCGATGGGAGCAAAGATGATGCCGATAATGAAAAACAGGGGCAAGACCGTCTTGGGTGTCAGGATTGGTCTACAACAGTCAGCGATCAAGGCCCGTCGCCGCGGTTTTGACACCACGGAGATATCGCCAGGAACCAGTAACTTACTGCCATGCCTTCAAGCGCTGCTGCCGAAATGCTGTATCTAATCGAGCACACAAGTGTCAGCACCAACATGTTTGTTTTGTTGGAATCCCAGCGTTTCCGCTGGAGGGAGCTTGACATCGTTCCGGGGCTTCCACGTACTTGCCGGTCGGCGGCTCTTCTTCTTGTCATCCTTCTTTCCTGTGTCATGTTGCGGATCAATGGAGTCAGCGTGGTTGACGCCAGGCGATGGTTCAGGCATCTTGGGAGATCGTACACTCTCAGAGGACGCGCGATCGAGATTGTTACTGAGAGGTGTCGATTGCTGTCGCGGAAGTCTGGCTCAAATGCGCATGTCCGGCAAGACAGGAGAGATGCAAGTCAGCGGGAGTGTGGCTTGGCTTTCAATGCGTAGATTGGGGACTAGCGCCGTGGCTTAGCGACCCACTTGTTCGTCACATGTGGAGCACGGGCGGATACTACAAGGCGTGCAATCACAGCGCAGTAAATGGTTTGGACATTGGGTTGTAACCGAACTTGCCTTGGTTGATGAGGAGCAGCATGGCACTCAATTAAGTACACTAAATGACTAGAGGGCGAACGATCTAGCATAGTCACTAGCAGAGTCAGCGTGGGCAGTGCGTAACAAAAGAGGCACCCTGCGCCAGATTTCCACACTCAACCCCGCATCTCCTCTACCTTTCCAGCTCTGTAATAACGTAGTGAATGTGAAGCTAGCTAGGTAAGAGTTAAGATGTAAGAGGAGCATTACTTTTAACATAAGTAGTAGATTGTAGGACGTATAAGTGAATATGCAGGTGTATTTACGTACTGCACTTGTACATTCAGTAGGTATAGATAGATTGGCAGTAGTAAGTAGTAGGTTTATTGGTTGGGGGCCGCCTGGGAAGGAAAACCAAAATATTCAAACAAAAGCAAAGCTTCCGAAACCGAGAATCTAACTCGGGGCTATGCCTAACCACTGAGCATTTGAGAGGGCATCATGTTGGCCACTACACCATATCGTATTTTTCATGATAACACACTGTTATTGGATTAATTTTGATCGCGTATCAAATGTTTGTTTCTATATCTGATTGTGCAATGAGTCTCTACCAACACTCGCTGCTTTCATAAACACTCACGCTGTTATGGTTTCCGTTCTCGACGAGGCGCCAAACCGGTTCAATGACTTAATGACTCGCACATTGTCTTTTGGTTTAGACCAAAATTGCTTGGCCAGTTCATTGTCTTATCACGCACGTGTAGTACGAGCCTGGAAATAGGATAGTATTCTTCTCCTTCAGCCCTCAAAGATGTAAGCACAGCAAATTACTGCTTAGATAGATATGGCGGTAATTGGAAAGTCCGAGGCAACAGAAGATATTATACATCCTCAGCATGCTAATTATTTACGGGTGATTCCCATACCACCTATCAATACAACATCAGCGAGGACGCAAAGCTTTCAAATACTAGGATGTTTGCATGCTAACAAAGATTGCCTGGTTACCATGACTTGAAACAAGTCGACATCAAGGAACAACAAATCAACGGTCAGATGCAGAGGGGAAGGATGACATTTCCTTCCTTTTATCAAAAGTTTTCAAGAGACCAGCGGCTGAGATACCTCATTATATGCTCCGTAAACCAACCCAAATGCTCGCAAAGACAAGTTTGGCCAGATGTGGCTTAACAGTTCTCGCGCGAGATACGGCTGTCTGAGATGAAATCAATGAGCAGCCCGGATTGCAGGCGGAAGCATCGAACTGATATTGGCTACACTAGTGAAAGATTCCTATGATCAACAGGCAAGGCTTCTCTGGGAAAGGGACCGGGCTCCCCATGGCTGCACACCTCAAATAGTCGTACGTACCGACCTCGCTGTTGAAGGGATAAGCCACTACAGCCGAGTTTTAGTGAGGGGCAATTGCGGGCGGTCGGGGTAGGCCCACCGAAAACGCCCTGAAATTCTACAGGAGGCTGCCCCCATGATGAAATGGCCGAAACCAGGGACCCAAGTGCGCAAGGTGCCCTGAGCTTGTCGCCTCTGGTAGACGAGAGAGTGAAGGCCAATGCGGTACGTACCTCTGTCTCAACCCTTGCGGCAATACGTGGACATACCTTACACTACACTAACTAAGCTGATGCAAGCAAAAAGTGAGCCAGTCAGAGGCGCCGCCGCTGAGAGCTGCACAGAATGCCAACCGAAGCGGCTTGGAAGTGCAAGCTGAAGCCCGGACACTTCGGGCTGCAGGGAAGGAGGGATAGCGACAGACCACATTTCGATCCGTGCACCTTCTAGAACCCTTCGACGCCCGTGACTGGTCGGCTGGAGCAGCAAGGCCCCTCAAAAGCTAGGACCTCACCGTCACCCTGTGGAAGGAGAAGGGAGACATTAAGGAGCACGAGAAGGAGGGAGGGGAACACCTGCTTCTTTGCTGCTGGGTTTGACTGGAAGCAGCGATGCGTCAAAGGACCCTCCGTGCCTCCTCCTGCTTCTCGACTTTCCCCCCACCTTATTCCCCCCCGTCCCATCGTTCCTAAACCGAACCCAAAAAGCTTCCCTTCCCTTGGCCTTTCCGCTTCCTGCACTCCCCCCATTCTGTGTTCCCATCTCGTCACCTCCCGCTGTTCTCGATCAAGATACACAAAGCGAACGCTATCCTCGTGGCCTCGTCTCGCGCCCGGACGACTGTACGAGAGTACCTGGACACAGAACCGGCCACTTATCACGCCTTCCCCAGTCTCTCCTTTACATAGGTAGGTACTAGCCGCGCCCTCGTCCCGGTCCATAACTGCTAGACCACGCCGTGATCATTCTTCTCTTTTCCATCTCTCCTCGTCAACCCGCTCAATCCGCTCGCCAAGTAAACCCCTTGGCTTCTGGCAGTTTCCTCGGTCTTACCAATTCTTCATCCCAGGGTCTGGTCAACCAAGATTTCTTTCCTCAAAACCCGGTAGTCAATCTTACCAAGGCTGTCGAGCTACCCGCACCAACTTGCCATCGCCCACTAGCTAGCTCCGTACGCTGTCCTCTGGTGAGTGATAGCTCCCTCCGTGGCCGCGCGCTGGATCAGCCTGCCTACCTTCAACAATTCAACCTGTTCGCCACCTTCTCCCTGTTCCTCGTCCTCGAATCTTCGTCAGCTTCATCACATCCCATCATTACTGTTCTATTTGCTGCAAACGCACGCAACTTTACAGTGCGTGTTCTCATCCCCCATTCTATCACTTCCTTGGCATGCGTTGAGGTATCTTGCCGCCACCCCTCTTCGTCACCGGGTCACAGCCAATGCCGTTTCTCTGTCCGGCCTGCGTCATTGTACTATGCATACCATCTCCGCGGCGTAGTTACCAAGAGAGTCTCATGCCGAAACCCCCACCAATTTCATAACATTCTTTGTTGATCTGATGAGCCTTGAGACGGGGCAACCGTCCAACATTCCTTCTACTGCTACCCAGAAGCTGGGAGCCGAAGCTGACTGAAATAGCACGAAGCCTACCGCCAAGAGGCTCGCACGAAACGGTCGATATCCTTGATCTCTGCGCCGCATCGAACACCCACCTAGCAACTAGCTTCACGAAACCAACCTCTATCTACGGTACGAACTTATTTTCAGACGAATATCCCACACCAGAAAATGTCCGGCATGTTCAAGAGTCCTTTCGGGGCTAACGCCAACCCTTTCGGAGGGCCCAGCGATGGAGCCCCGGCGGGAGGCAACGCCATCCATCGAGTAATCGAAGAAGAGGAGAACGACACCGTCACCTCTCCTACATCACCAAGCTTCGGCATGAATGCTGGTTCGATGTTCAGCGGCCCATTCGGTGGCGACGCTGCCAACGATGCCCCGCCGTCTGCGCTGAGAAGTCCGCCGAATCCCGAGAGCTATCCCGCCCAATACAACTTTGGCCGCCGAACCTCGGTCTCGGCTGAGTCTTTGAAGCCTAGCGCAGACACTTACGATAACTGGTCACCTCCTTACCACGAGAAGAGCAAGGAACAACTGGGACGTCTGCAGACCGCCATCGAAGGCAACTTTCTCTTCAGCCATCTTGACGACGAGCAGAGTTCCCAAATTTTGGGTGCGCTCAACGAAAAGCCGATTCCGGCTAAAGACATCAAGGTAAGCTGGCCTTGACGTTGCCACATCGCACGACCGGATCCTGACAGTTCACAACAGGTCATTAGCCAGGGTGACGCCGGCGACTTCTTTTACGTAGTAGAGAAGGGATCTTTCGACGTATACGTCAATAGCAGCGGTAACTTGCAGCCTGGCCTCGAAGGCATGGGCCAAAAGGTCGGAACCATCCAGGCTGGAGGCTCATTTGGCGAACTCGCTCTGATGTACAATGCTCCGCGCGCCGCAACCGTCATTTCTGCCGAGCCTGGATGTACTCTCTGGGCGCTTGACCGTCTCACTTTCCGCCGCATCCTCATGGAGTCGACATTTGCTCGGCGGCGGATGTACGAGAGTTTCCTTGAAGAGGTGCCTCTGTTGCAGAGCCTCACGCCGTACGAGCGATCCAAAATCGCCGATGCGCTGGAGACTCAGAAGTACGCACCGGGGGCAACGATCATCAAGGAAGGCGACCCTGGGCACTCGTTCTTCCTCCTGGAGAGCGGTGAGGCCGATGCGTATAAAGGTGACAGCAAAGAATCCGTAAAGCACTACAGCAAGGGAGACTTCTTCGGCGAGCTTGCGCTTCTAAACGACGCCCCTCGCGCCGCCAGCATTGTTGCCACGACGGATGTCAAGGTCGCAAGCCTCGGCAAGAACGCCTTCCAGCGGCTTCTTGGTCCTGTCGAAGGCATCATGAGACGGACGAGGTACAAAGGCATCAAGACCGGTGTCGAGGAGATGGATCCGCTTCAAGCAGTCTAAAAGCTGTAGAGCTTGTGGTTGATTTTGCGTTTTTATCCAAGATTGGACGGCAGGCTTTCGGATGGTTGAAAGTGAAAGTGAAGATTCACGGCGGCGTTAGCGGAACCCCTTACCCTCGCTTCCTAAGAGATACGGCTATAGTGATGTTCAGATACCTGTTAGTAAAGAATATTTATCCACAAAGCTGCCCTGGAAGTGTGCGGGTTCGCGTATCCCCTGGTATCATCGATTTTCCCTTATCGGTACATGGTGCAGTCGAGCGGTCTTCATCAGGCATCGGCGCCCATTCCGCCCATTCCTTGCCTCAGTATCGGCACCAGAGCTCGGCATTAACCTTCTTTTACTCTCATCTCTTCCAGAATTTTCCTCCTCAACTGTTCAATTGCGATCTCAGTCTCCAGTGTCCTTCCCACACCCTTCTTCCAAGCCTCTTCCAGTCCCTTCATCTCAGCTGCCACCTCCTCTTGTTGCCGCCTTCGAGCGACAGTCAAGACGTCGATCAAGCGCTTCGTTTCGGCGAGATCACGCTCCAGGGCCTTCAGCTCGTTCTCCAGGTCCCAGTTACCAATTAGCCAGGCATTCTTGCCATATTTGTCCAGCAGCCTGAGGTTCTGAGCGCGTGTGTCTAGATAGGTATAGGAGATGTATGCTTTCCGAAGTGCGTCGGCCAGACGCTCACGGTCTTCTGGTGTCAATGGTTCCCCAGAATCTGGGAGAGGCTCTTGTGTTTGATAACGCTCGAGGTTGATGGCCTGGAGTGGCTGTTTGGAAGCGACACGTTCCAGCTCGAGTTCGATGAGTGGAGAGAAGGATGGTTCTTTGTAGGTTGGTGCGGGGGGTGAGGAAGACGTGGCTAGCTCGGCCATAATCAGGGCCAAGGAGGCATTGCGCTCCTCCTGTGTGGGCTCATCGTCGATATCTGCAGGCATTCAATGTTAATTGAGGTCGCGAGGCGCACGGCGGACGACGGCGATAGCAACGTACATGGCAGAGACTCGTGGAAGGCGTTGAGAGCAGACATGCTGATACGGATCCAATTCAATGCGAGGCTTGCTATAGAGAGAGTTGTTCCAAACAATGACCTCAATCTAACTGCCCGAAATGAAACAAAGTGGTTTGGTCGCTAGGGCCGTAGAGAG